AGATTTCTAAGAAAAGGAGTCTACCTCGTCCGGGATGGACCTGACCCTCCCCCTCTCTCCCTGGAGTTCGGCATTTATAAGAGATTCAGCTTTGATCTACTGCCTGGACTTTGTCTGTGGCCACTGGAGGTGGTGAGTGCTATTGGGGGCAGCCATGTGCTTCGAAATCCCTAGACAGACCATGGAAGACCCGACCATCCAGCGGCTCCTTCGGGGGTGAGCGCTACATTTGTATCGCACGCGCCTGTTTTGGCGCAAGTGAGGATTTCACCATTTTTGAGATGCAGACACATCAGATACAGTTCCAGGGAGAGTACGAAGGGTCTAAAGCCAGTGGTTCTCAACGTGTGTAACCTCGGGACCCACATTTGTCCTCGGTCATTAAGTCTCGACCCCAAGTCGCACCGCCATGTTCCATGTTGCGGTACTGCGCTTTCCGGTGCAGGCGATCGAACTGCGGGTGGGAGGTGTGTTTGGGTTGCCCTTACGGAAATTGGAGTGGATCCTCAACCTGGGGTCCGGTGTGGTCTGCTGTGCCGTGATGGAGCTCCATCCATATGTGTATTGCTTGTAAAGCTCCTGTGCGCACCGTAGAGGTTCCTGGGAGCCAGAATGTGATGAGCTGTAAGCAATGCACATATGGATGGAGCTCCCTCGCGGCCACAGCCCCACCCCAAGCCGACACTCAGCACCGGGCAATCATATTTGTGAATGGCTGCTCGGCGCGAGAACTGACAGTGCTGCGCTAGGGGGAGGCCGAGGATCCTCTCACCTAGAAAAGTGGAAGGCATGTGGCGACCCGCTGGACATGGGGTCGCGACCCACCACCAGTTGAGAACCAAGGGTCTAAATGAACCCCACTGGTCAGGTATACACAATAAAGTGATATTAAAAGTCATAAAGGTGTTAAATCTATTTGAAATGCGGATGAAATCACTTACAATGGATGCCGCTCCTTCATGTTTCATTATTTAGTATTGTTAGACTATCCTGGCTGGATTATGACTGACTACTACAGTGGCAAGAATAAGTATGTGAACCCCTCGGAATGAACTGGTTTTATCTGCAGCAATTTGCCATAAAATGTGATCTGGTCCTCATCTCGGTACCAACAATACACAGGCACAATGGGGGGGGAATTGATCGAAACTGGAGCAGACAGAATCTGGAGCTGTTGCCCACGGCAACCAATCAGCTTCTCTCTTCAGTTTGTTCAGTTAAGATTTGAAAATGAGAGAGAGAAGCTGATTTTTATTTACATTTATTTGAACCCTTTAGTGACAACTACTCCTTACTTATTCACAAGGTGGATCACGTGATATGAACTTCATGGAAAGCTGATTGGAGTCAGCAGCTTTGCACACCTGGAGTCCAATGAAGTTGATCTCCATACAGGGCAGCCATCAGGGGGGTACGGCCAATACTCATGTAAGGGGCCCGGGCAGCCTGGGGGGCCCGCCCGGGTCCCTTACATGACTATCGGCCGACGGTGAAGGGCGAGGAGGCGGAGGCCTGGCCCTAGCAGCGCAGGTCCCCAGCATTGCCGCTCCAGCGGCTCTGAGACAAGCTAGGGCCCCATCAGCGACGCTGCTCGTCTGATGTCGGAGTGGCGGAAGTGACGTCACTTCTGGCCGGTCCGGCAGGCAGACGAGGCCACGTGTGCAGGTGAGAGGAGCTAGGAAGGATGGAAGGAAAGGGGGGAGGAATGCAGCCCTGAGGGGGGGGGGGCCTAAAGCCGTGTAAGGGGCCCCAAAATTTCTGATGGCTGCCCTGTCTCCATAAGGCTTGAAAGGGATATCAAGCGATCTCACATTGGTTAGACATCCATCAGTGGGTGGATCCATCTATAAGTGGACGCCCAGCCACGATGACTCCCAAGGCACAACACAGAATCCTCAATGAGGTAGAGAAAAGTACGATGGGTTGGTGTAATGGGTCAGGTGTGTTTTTTTGATCCTTCGTGGTGTGTTGGGAGTCCATTCATAATGACGTTCCCACATCACAACGCATCTCTAAGATGTGACTCAGCCATTGACGTCCTCAGTGGAGCTCCAGACCTCAGCTGTTAACTCCTTGTGCTTGGCTCTGATTCAATGAATCCTCCCAATCTTCTGCGATCCTTCTGTGGAGCTCCTCTCCATGTTAAGGGGAACACACCGTATTTGAGGAGAGATGGACTGTTACTTGGTGTTCCAGGCACATATAGACATGTTCTGTGCTGGTCACCCATCAGTGTCTTCTAGAAAGTCCTTTAGAAGCTTCCAGTCTGACACTAAAGGCCAAACAGCAAGAAGACAACTGTGTCTGGACTCGGCGAGAGAAGTACTCGAGGTTCTAGTGGAGGAGAAGAGTCACCATTACAAATAAAAAGGATAGAGAGGGAAACCAGGAGAGACGAGGAGAACAAAAGGACACGAACCCTGCTCACTGAGGAACTCTGCAACTTTTCACCACCACTGTTCTGAAGGGCACCCTGGGTCTTTTTGAATCCTAGCAATGTAGTAGACATGTGCGATTCGTTTCGTTCCGAATCGAAATTCGGACGAATTTTCGGAAATTCGGACATTCGGATGTATCCGAATTCCGAATTACAGACATAACGAATGCAAACGAATCCGAATTTCCATTTCTGAAATTTGGTAGCGGTAGGTCGAACGTTCGTTTCGTTTTCTGTTCTTATTCGTTTCTTATTCGTTTCGTTCGTTGGAGCAAAGTGACATCAGAGAAGGAGAAAAATATTTCCCCCCCTCAAATGTCACGAACGAACAAAACGAATAAGAAAAGAATAAGAACAGAAAACGAAACAAACATTCGACCTACCGCTACCGAATTTCGTCCGAATCCGAATTGACTTTCACACCCGAATCCTGAAAAAACGAAATAACACAAATCCGAATTTAAAACGAAACTAAACAAATGTTTTGGCAGTGCACATGTCTACAATGTAGTAAAGGATGAAACAATGATCTGTAAACTGGTTATGGGTAATGCTCGCTCGGTTCCACTCTCCCGGCACTCCTCAGATTTCAGACCGCAGCGTCTGATATTTCGGACATCCGATAATTTGGGATTGGAACTACAGCTGTCCAGTGGTGATCGCTCAGAACAAACACCAGGTAGGCTGTATGTAAGCTCAAACAGGAATCACGTTTATTGGATGCACACACACACTTAGATAAAACAACAGTTTGAAGGTGGCCCAACCGACCACCTTCCTATTGGTCAACTGCAAAGTATTCTCCAGTCCTCACCTAGGTCCTCTCGGCCATGCAAATGAGGACTCGAAACAGGGCAAATAGGGATTGGTCCATAGTCTCTAGGAAGGAGACTCCTCCAGCAGCCCCAGTGACTGTTCAGTTCGTCACAGGTAATATATGAAAACCTAATGAAGATACTGGATCAGCATAGCAGCTGCTATTTTCAGATGAAGATTCACCAATAGCAGCCTACATATTTCTCTCACCTGATTTCACCTAACCAGACCCCCCGACCATCCCAGATCCTGAATGATTGCCCTGGCGTTTGACCAATATCCCATAGTCCCATGGATCCAGACTGCGTCCTGTTGGTGGGAGCACAGGACCTCTGCAGGCACTGTAGGGTGGAGGGATCTCCTGACAAACAGTCCCTCTGTAGTTCTAGCTCTGGTGTCATCAATCATCCTGGAAAGCGGCAGCATGGGAGCCGCCACTCAGGTAAGTTCCCATCCCGCTGATTATGGATCATTGGTTGGGTTTTGTGTCTCTTGTAGATGAGTTGTGACCGGACATCAGCCCAGTGATCGGCCCACATATCATTCTGGAGGAAAGAACCAATGTGGGTGTAATAACACTTATGATGTCCTCATTCCCGGAACATCGATCCATACATGACGTTATATTAATATGTAGACTCCATAACCTCCAGTATGAATTATTAATAACCCTCCCCCATTCATGTGACGTAAGACATAATCTGTACTGGAAAATGGAAAACTTTTTGTGCCTTCTACATCTCGGATTTGGATATTATTTTATATTGTACAATTGGCCAATTAAATTGTATCTAAAGTAGGGATGCACCAATACTGTTTTTTTCGGTACTCACCGATACCGGAAGTCCCGTTAAGGAAGCCAGGCGGAGTGTAAAGACTCGCCACCCGGCTTCCCGATTAGCAGGGAAGCCGTCACCAGGTGACGAGGGAACAAGGAGCTGGCTTTCTGGCCAATCAGGAAGCCAAGGGGGCTGGTAATGACTTGCCGATTGCAGAAACGTCACCAGCACACCAAATCCTTACAGGATCAAAATTCGTAGATTTATTGCAAACTCATGTCAGTTACACGAGCGCTTTGGGGGCCACACGGGGTCCCTTCATCAGGCATTGCAATAAATCTACGTCCTGTAAGGATTTGGTGTGCTGGTGACGTTTCTGCAATTATCTGTATTTGGTGGCGCCTTCCGCAGTCATTCCATGCACCCCTCCCCCGATCACGGGGTCATACCGGTAAGGAGTGCAACTAGCCTTTTCTTTTTTCCTGGTAATGACTTGCCGCCTGGCTTCCTGATTGGCCAGCTTCGCCACCAATCAGGAACCCAGGCAGCGAGTCATTACATGGCACCTGGCTTAACTGTCTGCATGTCGGGGTGTTGGCACAATAATGAAGATATATTTTAGGGGTACAAGGACTTCAGTATATGGGTGCAGTGTATAGTAGGCATAGACTTTATATAACCACACCCCTTTTCAGGATTATGCAGCCACGCCCACCTTTCTTCTCAGTGCACTTAGTGTGCCGTGATTCTTCTCTACACCCGTCTGTCCCTCTTTATCTCCCTCGTCTAATGTTGGGCGGAATGCTTATCTTTACTACTGTGATAAAACCTCCCTCTTCTGTACTCTGATCTCCGTGTCTGTTATTACTGATCCGGCCTCGCCCTGTGTAGGAGAATGTGACCAACCCAACGGTATTCTCCACCGCGTCAGAGACTTTCACCTTCATTTCTCTCTTCTGCTGTCAGCGATGGCGTCTGCTGATCTGAGAGCTGAGCTGGAATGTTCCGTCTGTCTGGACATTTATACAGATCCTGTGACCCTGAAATGTGGACACAACTTCTGCCGGGACTGTATTGATCGTGTGCTGCATACCCAGGAGGGGTCTGGAGGTCATTCCTGTCCTGAATGCAGAGAGAAGTTCCAGGAGCGGCCTGCACTGCAGAGGAACATAACACTGCGTAACATAGTGGAGAGTTTCCTGTCTGCTCAGCCAGATCCGGAGGAGTCCGGGGTCCTCTGTACCTACTGTGTGGACTCCCCGGTACCTGCTGTGAGATCCTGTCTGCTCTGTGAGGTTTCTCTGTGTGATAAACACCTGAGAGTCCACAAGAAGTCTCCGGAACACATCTTATGTGACCCCACCTTGTCCACGGAGAGCAGGAAGTGCTCCGTCCATAAGAAGATCCTGGAGTATTACTGCACTGAGGATGATATCTGTGTCTGTATGTCTTGTTGTCTGATTGGAGGACACACCGGCCATAAGATGGAGTCACTGGATGAGGCTTCTGAGAAGAAGAAGGAGACACTGAGGAATATTCTGCAGAAACTTCTGACACAGAGAGAGGAGACGGAGGAAAGAGTCCAGAGTCTGCAGGAACACAGGAGGAAAGTAGAAGAAATAGCAGCCGGTGACACAGAGAGAGTCTCTGCCCTGATTAGAGAGCTCAGGAGACGTCTGGAAGACCTGGAGAAGAAAGTCCTGAGTGAGATCTCCGGGAGGGCAGAGCGGGTCTCCATCTCTGTGATGGAGAAGATCCGGGAGCTGGAAATAAAGAAGGACGAGCTGTCCAGTAGACATGTGCACTGCCAAAAAATTTGTTTAGTTTCGTTTCGTTTTAAATTCGGATTTGTGTTATTTCGTTTTTCGGGATTCGGGTGTGAAAGTCAATTCGGATTCGGAATTCGGATTCGGACGAAATTCGGTAGCGTTAGTACGAACGTTCGTTTCGTTTTCTGTTCTTATTCGTTTCTTATTCGTTTGCAGCAAAAGTGACATTTGAGGGGGAAAAAATATTTTTCTCCTTCTCTAATGTCACTTTGCTCCAACGAACGAAACGAATAAGAAACGAATAAGAACAGAAAACGAAACGAACGTTCGAACTAACGCTACCGAATTTCAGAAATGGAAATTCGGATTCGTATACATTCGTTATGTCTGTAATTCGGAATTCGGATACATTCGAATGTCCGAATTTACGAAAATTCGTCCGAATTTCGATTCGGAACGAAACGAATCGCACATGTCTACTGTCCAGGAAGATGCGTGACATTGAGGAGCTGTGTAACATGACGGATCCACTGACTGTCTTACAGGAATCAGACACAGGTGACTTGTGTGATACTGAGGATGGAGATGATGAGGACAGAGAGAGACATGATAGACTCCTCCGTGATGGAGGGGGTCTGGATGTGGCTGGGCTCTCACACACATTACACACAGGTTTATCTGATATAATAACAGAGGTAAATGTATCCTTCTATATACAGGAAGCTGAAGACATATTACTGGATGTGAGCACAGCTCATAATTATCTACAGATATCACATGACAGGAAAACTGTATCCAGGTCAGAGATAGACCAGAATCACCCAAAAACTCCACAGAGATTTCAGTGTCCTCAGGTGTTAGGCAGTCGGAGTTTCTCCTCAGGGCGACATTACTGGGAAGTGGATGTCGGGGGGTCAGATGAATGGAGAGTCGGGATGTGTTACCCCAGTATAGGGAGGAGAGGAGGAGTGCAGTCACTGATTGGAAGGAATAACAAGTCCTGGGGTTTGGTCAGGGATGGTAATCAGTATTTAGTGATACATGACAGTAATCAGATCCTCTTACCCCCCAATATCTCCAGTACCAGAGTCGGGATATATCTGGATTATGAGGCCGGGCGGATCTCCTTTTATGATCTGTGTGACCCGATCCGACACCTCCACACCTTCACCACCACCTTCACTGAGCCCCTCCATGCTGGGTTACGGGTAGGGAGAGGTTCTATAAAGATCTGTGGGGGAACTCGGGAATTGTGAGAGCTCCGCCCACAGTCTGGTGACGTCACACAGAGGAGGGATTGGATTGGTGGAATAATTAGACAAAATAGTTGGCCAGTGGGTGGGGATTTAGGTTTTTCCAGTGCCAGTACTCACTGTACCTTTTTGCCCACAAAAAGCATGCTGCAGCCCTCTTTGTTGTGGGCAGGGACGTTGCCACAACTGTCCCCGTTGCCACAACCAAGATGACTGCCAACAATAAACCTCAGTGCCAGTGGCTAATTTGTTTGTGGGGACATACTGAGCATGTGCAATGTGTCTGCGCTACCACAGCGGCCACCGACAGTAAACCTCATTGCCTCAGATCACATATGTGCGGTTTTTACACATAAATTACTACCACAAAGTAGAAGATTGAACAACAAAAGACGAGGCAAGGTTTATTTATTTATTGAATTATCCAATCAGTTACTTAGTTGTTTCACTTACTCCTTCAAGATTTAAAGATCCTAAAAGCACTTTGAATTAGTATCACCAGAGACACGATTTGTTTTCTATAAACTTTGATCACATTTTTACTATTGTTCAAAAAGGTTGAATACACACACCAAGCGCAACATATTAGCCTACATTTGATCATTTTGATACACATTGTTGCAGCTGGTATTTTATTTATTCATTTATTTATCTATCTATTTATTTCACATTTTCCTAGCGCAATCAATTTGGATAAAAGAAATAGAAATACCTTTCTTTAGCAGGGAAGAGGGAGGCGAGAGCTGTGACAGATGTCTGCTTGTCTGTGTCTTTGTTGTGGAGTTTCACTAACTTTCTGTCTGGTACAGAGTTATCTCTACACGTAGCCCCAAATAACAAAGGTTCCGATCTTACCAAACACCATCCAAAACGAACTGGCATAGACTTAAACACAATGTATCACTGATATAATTGTAGCAGTGTCGGTGTCAGTTAAGGATGCTCAGATACCAAGTACTGATACATTCCAAGTCCTCACAGATACAAGTAC